GAGTCATCTCGAAGCGACGGCGCTGACGATAAAGACGTTTGACGAGGGTTTGCTGGACCGCGAGAAGCACGTGCTCCTCGAGTTCTACGCGCCTTGGTGAGCGCGGCGGAGCGGGGAAGAGGATGGGGAGGGTGGCGGGGAAAAGGGGGAGGGGAAAGGGAAGGGGGCGAGAGAGAGGGATCGAGAAGATCGTGAGGAAAGGGAATGGGGGAGTGAGAGCGTAGGCCTTGGTGCCAGCTCAGGTTGGTGTGTGGTGTGGAGGAGGCGGGGTGCATGGTGTACTTCTGTTCTGCCACGTCGTGATTTATTTGGATTTTTGAGAAACATAGAGAGAATGAAACGACTCGGTGTCAACATATGTTATTTTCTTTCCTTACTGAATCATTTCCATGGCACAGCACAGCATGAGCATGTCATGTCGCATGTCACAGGATTGCTCTACCTAGGTGTTTTAACTGCCCCGCCATGGCTACACACTCGCATGCTCCCCCATGCTCACCCTTCGCTGCACCCTTCACTGCATTCCACTCCGGGTCCTGCTCTTGAAAACTTCTCGTCCTCCCTACCGTTCGTCCCTTCTCTTTCGGTCTTTGTTTCCAATGAGAGTTTCTTATTCTTACTTATCCTTTTTCTGTGCGTTTTGTCCCGACGTTCCGCGTTTGTTGCCCAGGTGCGGTCACTGCAAGAGCCTTGCTCCTGTAAGTCGCCCTCGGTTCTTTCCTATCTAGTAGCCCCCTTTTCTCCCTCTTGCACTACGCCTTCATTGTTCCTTGCTGTTTCTCTTGCACCCTCTCTCTTCCACTTGCTTTGCACCCCCCACCTCCCTCTGTTACCTCTCTCCTCTCACTCCCTTGCCTTCAACTCCCTACCCACTTCCCTTCTCACCCCTTTCTCCAATCTCCAATCACCTCCCTCTCCCCCTCCCCCGCTGCACAGACGTATGAGAAGCTGGCGCAGATCTTCAAGCCGGAGAAGGACATTGTCATTGCCAAGGTTGATGGTGAAGCCTTTTGAGGCGCCTCAAGACCAATCCCCTCCGCCTCCCCCTCCCCCTCCCCCTCCCCCTCCCCCTCCCCCGCTGCACAGACGTATGAGAAGCTGGCGCAGATCTTCAAGCCGGAGAAGGACATTGTTATTGCCAAGGTTGACGGTGAAGCGGAGAAGTTTCTCGCCTCCAGGTATGCGATGCAAAGCGCGGCCATGTGCCAGTGCTCGCGGGGGTGTGGTGGGTGGGAGGGGAAGCAGAGCTAGTCAGTGGACCATCACGGGTTGAGTTGCGTTGCGTGTGGTGTGGTGCAGCAACGGTTGCAGCGGTACAAGATTCACGTATCGTGAGGCTAGCTGCTTATTTGCACTTCTTCTCCACTTCATCGGTGTGGATGGGGTTGGGCAGCTATGGGGCTATGCACAAGTACGTACCCCACTTCATACTTGCTTCTCTGAGCGAACACACAACAGAGCACACACACCACCACAATGCAACCGCGTTGCATAGAGTCCCTCTTTGGTAGCCCCTTCTCTCCCATCCGCGCCCACCCTTCCCCGCCATCACCCCATCTCTCCCCCGTAACGACCCATGCAGGTACAAGGTGACGGGGTTCCCGACAGTGTGGTGGTTCCCCAAGGGCAACAAGGATGGAGAGGAGTACCAGGTGGGACAATTCTTGAGGCGTCTAATCAGTTCCGACCGCCCTGCCCGTCCTCTGTCTCTCTTCTTTGGACAATGCCTCATCCAGGTACAAGGTGATGGGGTTCCCGACAGTGTGGTGGTTCCCCAAGGACAACAAGGACGGAGAGGAGTACCAGGTGGGGCACTTCTTGTGGCGCCTAATAAATCCCTACCTCCCCGCCCGTCCCCTCTCTCGTCCTTGCACAATGGCCCATGCAGGTACAACGTGACGGGGTTCCCGACAGTGTGGTGGTTCCCCAAGGACAACAAGGACGGGGAGGAGTACCAGGTGGGGCGTGAGCTCAACGACTTTATCGGCTACATCAACGCCAAGGCCGGCACCTTCAGGAGCGACACCGGCGGCTACAGCACCCAGGTGCGTGTGCTGCTGTGTGTGCTGGAATATGTGTGGCTGTTGCGTGCATGGTGTTACACGGGGGAGGGGGTACGCTTGTGGTGGTGACTTGGTGCTGGAGGTGATAGGGGGGTGGGTGGAGTGGAGGAGGGGAGGGGTTTCTGTTAAAATGAAATGGTTTAGCTGTGAATGCACACAGACAGGCCATAGCCATGGCTGTTGTCACGGTGTGTTCAGTGGCTAACGTTTTGACTTTCGTGAGAAGCAGGCCCTCAGATTTCAGGAATTTTACCCTGATTTTGTCTTTGAACCCTGATTTTCAGGGTATTTTTAGGTCCCAACCCTGATGAGAGTTTTTTTATTCATGCCTACACTGTTTTTTCAGCTAACTTTCTTGTACCAGGCCTGAAATGTCAGCCTAGTTTTGCTAGGGGACCCTGATTCGAATCATACAGTAGTGGGGCCAACCTTGTTAGCGAAATTGCCTAGATTCGATGAATCTGGCAAAAAAATCGCCCAAAATTTTCGCCGTCACCGTCAATCACGTGAAACGGCATCTTAGGGCTGTTTCCTACACCCCCCTTATCTTTATCTTGTCAGACTCGCCTCAGACACCATTTGTTTGGTTTAAACCGACTCTTCATTTCACTTTTTGTTGATTGGCGAAGTGCAAGACAGAATGCGTGGGGTGACGTGGTACTGCGCAACGCTCCCGAAAGGTTGTTGAGGAACATTCCCGACTGTTGCTTGCGAGCGCTTGTCTGATTTTGTCTCGTATGTTTGAACGTGACAAAACAGAGACCTTTAGCACACGCGATTGCCTAACCTGGACCACCATTGGTGCACCACCACTGTCTCCCTCCCCCCGTTCCCATCACATTATGATGAAGGCTGGTTACATCAGCGTTAAAAAATGTACCAGCCCTGATAAGAAAGTTTTTTTTTATGTGACAACACTGATTTTTCAGGGTTTATTTTTGTAACGACCCTGACAGAAAGTTTTTTTTTTTGGACCAACACTGATGAGAAAGTGTGGCCCAAAACGAATCTGAGGGCCTGGTGAGAAGGTTCTTCCTCACTAGCCTATGCAGGCACAAACATACGCAATGCACTTCCACCCTCCCTGCCACTTCTATCGTCAACTGACTGTCACTCCTCCTATCTGCAGTCAACCCACTCACTACTCCATTCTTCCTTCTCTCGCTGCAGGCTGGGCGTGTGCCTGCTCTGGACGAGTTGGCACAGCAGTTCATGAATGCTGAGGGCGAGGAAGCAAGGAAGGCCGTGCTGGCACAGGCAGAGGCGGCTGTGGCTGCTGTGGACCCTGCTAACGTGCTGCAGAGCAAGTGAGTGATGTGTGGGATTGCTTTTTTAGTATATTTAAAACTCAAAACTCATTCTGAGTCGATTCTTAAGCAGGCAGAGGCGGCTGTGGCTGCTGTGGCTAATGAGCTGCAGAGCAAGTGCCTGCCGTGTGGGATGGTGTGATGAGCGAGAGTGAGTGGGCTGTGTGGTAGGAGTCAGAGGGCACTTCTTGATCCTGCCACACTCGCACTCACAACAGGTCGCCGCACACACACCAACCGCTCAACACTTGGCCGCCGGATTTCCATACCCTAAACCCTAACCCCTAAACCCTTAGCACTCCCCATAGTCATGGCAGAAATCACCATAGCACCCGTGTGGTCCTTGGGACTCGCCTCATCCCTCTCACCTCTTCATCCCTTATCCCCTCCTCCCCTCATCCCTGCTCACGACCACCTCTGTGCCTGCCACCCCCCTCCTCTCCTGAGTGCGCCACCAGGGGAGCGGTGCACTACGTGAAGGCGATGAAGGCAGTGCTGGAACCAGAGAAGGGTGACGCCTACATTGAGAAGGAGGTTGCTCGTGTTGCCAAGCACCTTGCCGGGGTATGTATGTCGCCTGCACCTGGTGATACCTTGTAGCGTTCATGCTCTAGCATGTAACTCGTGCCCTGTAGCGGGTAACTTGTGGCACCTCTGTCTGTCCACTCTCCATCCCTCTGTCTGTCTGTCCTCTCTCTCCATGCAGGAACTGAAGCTGGCCAAGCGTGATACTATGAGCCTGCGCCACAACATTCTCTCTGCCTTCCTGCGTCGCACACATACACATCCGCCTACCATCAACCCCCCTCACCATTGCCATCTCTGTCTGTCCACCCTCCATCCCCGGCCTCTCTTTGCAGGAACTGAAGCTGCCCACGCGTGAGACTATGAGCCTGCGTCACAACATTCTCTCTGCATTCCTGCCTCCTCCGCCCCCTCCTGCGCTGGCTGCTGCTGCTGAGGAGAGCAAACCAGAAGGCGCTGCCGATGCTGCTTCTGAAGCCGAGCCCAGCACTGCCACTGCATGAGATGCGTTTGTTATGTAACAGATAATACCAGGAGTACACTTCAAGCACTGGTGAACTGTAGCGTGGTTAAAATATGAAGGCAGTGGAAACTTTTTTGTTGTGCATGCTTACGGTGTGTGGCTGCGGGTTAGACCAAGTCTTGACTTGCTAACAGCAATTGTGGATGCTGTGTAAATGTAGGTATTCCTAGCTCCCTTGTCCAGTGCACCGTGAATACTCAGGTTCTGGTTTGTAGATTCTATCCTGGAAACTGGAATACCAGTACTGCGTATTGATGCATGGAGCTGTAAAAGGCTGACTGACGACCAGGAGCATGAACTAGCATCATAGCAATATGTAGAGTAGACCAAAATAGTACCGTAACAGTGTGCTCTATCCATGCATTCAGTCTTTCTGCACTCCGGAAGTTTGTTAAATGACTGTGCCGTGCCTTAGCTTTAGGCAATCAAATTTACTAGGAAGGGAGCACTGCACCTGTGCCTTGTGGAAACCAAAACACTGACCATAACTGGAGTTTTTTTACGTCTCAAATTTGAAGAAGAATAAAACCACAGGTCATGGTAGGTAAATATTATACGAGGGTTTGCGCGTTGAAGTTGGTGTTAGAAGACGCCAAAGATCGTGGCGGCTGCAAAGATAAGGAAGAGCACCCCACTAACGATGCCAACCTGCATGAAAGGCAGGGGGGAGATACGACAGAGGGAGTAGGATGTGCATGGGTGTGTCATGGGGGTGGAGGGGGGGGGGAGGTGGATGGGGGAGGAGGGTGGAAGCATATCGGGTTGGAATAGGGAGATGGGAAGAAAGAGGGGGGAGGAGGGTGGACGTGGAAGGGCAGGTGAGGTGTGGCACGTGGCAAGAGGTGTGGTGTTGGCACCACTGGAAAATGCAACAGAGACAGAAGGTTGTTGATATTCGCGAGGCAATAGCAGAAAGGAAGAGGCTCAAATATGTGATTACAGAAAGCGTGGGAGGAGGAATGGGAGGAGCAGGGAGGAGGCATGGGAGGGACGGGGAGGAAGCATGGGAGGGGCGGGCAGGGAGGCATGGGAGGAGGGGGCAAGGAGTAATGGGAGAGGCGGGAAGGGGTCGTACGAAGCGCTCGGATATGTGTTTGGAGAGCAGAGCTCCTCCTATGACTGCGAGGCCTGTTGCCAGGAGATGCCCCACCGTGGCCCCCATCGCCACCCCCACAGGATTCTGGTAGTGACGGGAGACAGCGGGGGCATACGAGGAGGTGCACGGAAGGAACGAATGAAGCAGGGTGGGACAGACAGGTGGGGACAGGGGGGGATACGGGGGCAGAGGAGACAGGGGGGGATACGGGGGCAGAGGAGACAGGGGGGGATACGGGGGCAGAGGAGACAGGGGGGGATACGGGGGCAGAGGAGACAGGGGGGGATACGGGGGCAGAGGAGACAGGGGGGGATACGGGGGCAGAGGAGACAGGGGGGGATACGGGGGCAGAGGAGACAGGGGGGGATACGGGGGCAGAGGAGACAGGGGGGGATACGGGGGCAGAGGAGACAGGGGGGGATACGGGGGCAGAGGAGACAGGGGGGGATACGGGGGCAGAGGAGACAGGGGGGGATACGGGGGCAGAGGAGACAGGGGGGGATACGGGGGCAGAGGAGACAGGGGGGGATACGGGGGCAGAGGAGACAGGGGGGGATACGGGGGCAGAGGAGACAGGGGGGGATACGGGGGCAGAGGAGACAGGGGGGGATACGGGGGCAGAGGAGACAGGGGGGGATACGGGGGCAGAGGAGACAGGGGGGGATACGGGGGCAGAGGAGACAGGGGGGGATACGGGGGCAGAGGAGACAGGGGGGGATACGGGGGCAGAGGAGACAGGGGGGGATACGGGGGCAGAGGAGACAGGGGGGATACGGGGGCAGAGGAGACAGGGGGGGATACGGGGGCAGAGGAGACAGAGGGGGATACGGGGGCAGAGGAGACAGGGGGGGATACGGGGGCAGAGGAGACAGGGGGGGATACGGGGGCAGAGGAGACAGGGGGGGATACGGGGGCAGAGGAGACAGGGGGGGATACGGGGGCAGAGGAGACAGGGGGGGATACGGGGGCAGAGGAGACAGGGGGGGATACGGGGGCAGAGGAGACAGGGGGGGATACGGGGGCAGAGGAGACAGGGGGGGATACGGGGGCAGAGGAGACAGGGGGGGATACGGGGGCAGAGGAGACAGGGGGGGATACGGGGGCAGAGGAGACAGGGGGGGATACGGGGGCAGAGGAGACAGGGGGGGATACGGGGGCAGAGGAGACAGGGGGGGATACGGGGGCAGAGGAGACAGGGGGGGATACGGGGGCAGAGGAGACAGGGGGGGATACGGGGGCAGAGGAGGAGACAGGGGGGCGGAACGGAGGTGCATCGTGCATGGTTTTGGGAAGAGACAAGGTGGGTGGTACCCGAGCGTTTGCTGTTGCTCGGGCAAAGAAGAGAGCGCAGCACTAGCAGCATACGCATGGGAAAAACAAAGGAAGCGGGACTGTAGGCTTCAGGTTGAGGAGAGGAGGAGGGCTGCACAGACCTGGGCTGCTCCGAGCGCAATGGTGGCAAGCATTGATCGGTCTCCCCATTCCTGATGGGAGTAGAAGTGGTGCGAGAAGGGTTGAATTGATGCAAATGGGGTTGGATTGATGCAAATGGGGTTGGATTGATGCAAATGGGGTTGGATTGATGCGAATGGGGTTGGATTGATGCAAATGGGGTTGGATTGATGCAAATGGGGTTGGATTGATGCAAATGGGGTTGGATTGATGCAAATGGGGTTGGATTGATGCAAATGGGGTTGGATTGATGCAAATGGGGTTGGATTGATGCGAATGGGGTTGGATTGATGCAAATGGGGTTGGATTGATGCAAATGGGGTTGGATTGATGCAAATGGGGTTGGATTGATGCAAATGGGGTTGGATTGATGCAAATGGGGTTGGATTGATGCAAATGGGGTTGGATTGATGCAAATGGGGTCGGATTGATGCAAATGGGGTTGGATTGATGCAAATGGGGTTGGATTGATGCAAATGGGGTTGGATTGATGCAAATGGGGTTGGATTGATGCAAATGGGGTTGGATTGATGCAAATGGGGTTGGATTGATGCAAATGGGGTTGGATTGATGCAAATGGGGTTGGATTGATGCAAATGGGGTTGGATTGATGCAAATGGGGTTGGATTGATCCAAATGGGGTTGGATTGATGCGAATGGGGTTGGATTGATGCAAATGGGGTTGGATTGATGCAAATGGGGTTGGACTGATCCAAATGGGGTTGGATTGATGCGAATGGGGTTGGATTGATGCAAATGGGGTTGGATTGATGCAAATGGGGTTGGATTGATGCAAATAGGGTTGGATTGATGCAAATGGGGTTGGATTGATGCAAATGGGGTTGGATTGATCCAAATGGGGTTGGATTGATGCAAATGGGGTTGGATTGATCCAAATGGGGTTGGATTGATGCGAATGGGGTTGGATTGATCCAAATGGGGTTGGATTGATGCGAATGGGGTTGGATTGATCCAAATGGGGTTGGATTGATGCGAATGGGGTTGGATTGATGCAAATGGGGTTGGATTGATGCGAATGGGGTTGGATTGATCCAAATGGGGTTGGATTGATGCGAATGGGGTTGGATTGATGCAAATGGGGTTGGATTGATGCGAATGGGGTTGGATTGATCCAAATGGGGTTGGATTGATGCGAATGGGGTTGGATTGATGCGGGCGGGTTTAAAGGTAAGGGTGAGACGAGGATGGGAGCATAAGGAAGAGACTGGGATGCATAGGCATGCCGCATGCAGCATGACAGTCAATGCACAGCACACCACAATGCAATGTAACAGGGAGATTCACTGCCTGTTGAAGGGGGGAGAGCGTGAGCGAAGGAGTGCGGGGCATACCGCAAGAAAGATGAGGGAGAAGGCCTCCCAGAAGACTTCCAGAGAAGTGGCTACTGGCTTCTCTGCCTGCAAGAGGACAGATGCCATGGAGAGAGATAATGATGATGACATACACACGGATTGAAATAGAGAGAGGCACAAGCATCAAAACACCTGATAAACGCCATGTATGTATGCGTCGCACATCCATTTACAACCTAAGTTGGCTGGGAACGAACCATTTAGCATAATACAACACCCTTTCCAGGCCTCTTGCTCGTCCCCGCACACACGCACCCACCCACCCACACACACCCACACCCACACGAGCTCGCACACACACACACACACACACACAAACACGCACACGCGTGCACTCACCTCAGCCTTGTCCACAAAATCCCTCGCCCCGCCAGTTCCCCCTCCTCTCTGCTCCTCCTCACACACCCATACATACGCTTAGGGTTAACACACACACACGACCTCGCACACACACGCGCGCTCACCTCTGCCTTCTCCACAAACTCCCTCGCCTCTGCAAGTTCCCCCTCCTCCTCGTCCCCCTCCCCTGCCCCCGCGGTCGAACCAGCAGCCGGCGCAGCAGCAGCGGCAGCAGCAGGCATGGGGGTGGCGGCGGGCAGCTTGAGAGCGGACTGGATGGACCGGATACCGAACCATACGAGCAGCGCACATGCCAGGTACTCTCCCACGGGGATGGCTGCATGGGGGAGTGTTTGTTGAGGGAGGTGGTGGAGGGGGAAAGGGGGAGAGGGGAGAGGGAAGAGGGGTGCGGGTGGTGTTTAGACTTGGATGGGGGAGCACATGTGTGAGATTATAGGGAGCGGGTCGCACGTGCGACAAGTGATCAGCGTGCGAGCGTGTCTGGTGCACTGTTGAGGGGTGTTATTGAGAGTGGCATTTCCTGTGCTTTTCTTTGCGAAGAGAAAAAGAGAGGGTGGAAGGAATGTTAGAATGGGAAGCGGAGGAGGGGAGAGGGTGGAGGAAGGGCGGAGGGGAGAGAGAGAGTGGAGGGAGGTGGCGGGGAGGGGGAGGGTGGGTGGCAGAGAAGGAGAGAGAGCGGGCTCACAGGTGTGCAGCTGAGCAGGCACTTCGCGGAAGAGGCGGCCAATGCCAGCGGAGATGGCGGACATAATGCCCAGCGCGGACACTGCCCCGCACAGCACCTAGTAAGGGGGGAGGGGGAGAGGGGGAGGAGCGCAGTGCAGGGGGAAGGGGGCGCGCAGCAGGCGGAGTCAACTAAAAAGCTCCAAACAGCACCTGCGTGGGGAGGGGGAAGGGCAAGGAGCGGCTGCAAAGGGTGACGGGCGGGAGGCGGGTGTGTTGGGATGGGGTGGGGGAGGGTGGGGGGAAAGGAATGGGGAGGACAACGAGGGGGCGGAAGATGGAGGAGTTGGTAACAGGCGCTGAAACTGCTCCCCACAACACACCTGGAGGTGCAACTGTGGAAGGTGGTGCTGTTGTGTGGGCAGCAGTGCTATGTTGCTGGCGGTGCTGCTAGTCCCGAGAGCCAAGTGACTCTAACGGTAACGGGGCGACGGAAAAGGGGGCTGTTGCTAACAGGGACAGCTGACATGGAGGACCTTGTGTGTACCTTGGTGATATTAATACAATGGACCGTTCGAGAGAAGAAGGCAGGAAGACCAAAACCACATCTTCACAAAAAGTGAGATTTTTTTAGAGGGACTCGGATACTACCAAGGGAGAAAGGGAGGCGTATGGAGAGGGAGGTGGAGGGACTTGGAGAGGGAAGTGGGCGAGTGCGGGAGCAACTCACGAGCAGCTTGGAGTGGCGCATTGCCAGTAGCGCCGCGATGAAGAACGTCTGCCGTGGTGCATGGGGACAGGCAGGCGGGGAGGGAGGGAGGCAGGGAGGCAGGGAGGCAGGGAGGCAGGGAGGGAGGGAGGGAGGGAGGGAGGGAGGGAGGGAGGGAGGGAGGGAGGGAGGGAGGGAGGGAGGGAGGGAGGGAGGGAGGGAGGGAGGGAGGTAGGGAGGGAGGGAGGGAGGGACGGAGGGACGGAGGGACGGAGGGACGGAGGGACGGAGGGAGGGAGGGAGGGAGGGAGGGAGGGAGGGAGGGAGGGAGGGAGGGAGGGAGGGAGGGAGGGAGGGAGGGAGGGAGGGAGGGAGGGAGGGACGGACGGACGGAGGGACGGAGGGACGGAGGGGCGGAGGGAAGGAGGGACGGAGCGAGGGAGGGAGGGAGGGACGGACGGAGGGAGGGACGGAGGGAGGGACGGAGGGAGGGACGGAGGGACGGAGGGACGGAGGGAGGGAGGGACGGAGGGAGGGAGGGAGGGACGGAGGGAGGGAGGGGGGGAGGGAGGGAGGGAGGGAGGGAGGGAGGGAGGGAGGGAGGGAGGGAGGGAGGGAGGGAGGGAGGGAGGGAGGGAGGGAGGGAGGGAGGGAGGGAGGGAGGGACGGAGGGACGGAGGGACGGAGGGAGGGAGGGACGGAGGGAGGGAGGGAGGGAGGGAGGGACGGAGGGACGGAGGGACGGAGGGAGGGAGGGAGGGAGGGAGGGACGGAGGGACGGAGGGGCGGAGGGACGGAGGGACGGAGCGAGGGAGGGAGGGAGGGAGGGAGGGAGGGAGGGAGGGAGGGAGGGACGGAGGGTGGGACGGAGGGAGGGAGGGACGGAGGGAGGGAGGGAGGGACGGAGGGAGGGAGGGAGGGAGGGAGGGAGGGACGGACGGACGGACGGATGGACGGACGGACGGAGGGGCGGAGGGACGGAGGGACGGAGGGACGGAGGGAGGGAGGGAGGGAGGGACGGAGGGACGGAGGGACGGAGGGAGGGAGGGACGGAGGAAGGGAGGGAGGGAGGGAGGGAGGGAGGGAGGGAGGGAGGGAGGGAGGGAGGGAGGGAGGGAGGGAGGGAGGGAGGGAGGGACGGAGGGAGGGAGGGAGGGAGGGAGGACGGACGGACGGACGGACGGACGGACGGACGGACGGACGGACGGACGGACGGACGGACGGACGGACGGAGGGAGGGAGGGAGGGACGGAGGGACGGAGGGAGGGACGGAGGGAGGGAGGGACGGACGGAGGGAGGGAGGGACGGAGGGAGGGAGGGAGGGACGGAGGGAGGGAGGAGGGGAGGGAGGGAGGGACGGAGGGAGGGAGGGGGGGAGGGAGGGAGGGAGGGAGGGAGGGAGGGAGGGAGGGAGGGGGGGAGGGGGGGAGGGAGGGAGGGACGGAGGGACGGAGGGAGGGAGGGAGGGACAGACGGACGGACGGACGGAGGGGCGGAGGGACGGAGGGACGGAGGGAGGGAGGGAGGGAGGGAGGGAGGGAGGGAGGGAGGGAGGGAGGGAGGGAGGGAGGGAGGGAGGGAGGGAGGGAGGGAGGGAGGGAGGGAGGGAGGGAGGGAGGGAGGGAGGGAGGGAGGGAAGGACGGAGGGACGGAGAGACGGAGAGACGGAGGGACGGAGGGAGGGAGGGAGGGAGGGAGGGAGGGAGGGAGGGAGGGAGGGAGGGAGGGAGGGAGGGAGGGAGGGAGGGAGGGAGGGAGGGAGGGAGGGAGGGAGGGAGGGAGGGACGGACGGAGGGAGGGAGGGAGGGAGGGAGGGATGGATGGAGGGAGGGAGGGAGGGAGGGAGGGAGGGAGGGAGGGAGGGAGGGAGGGAGGGAGGGAGGGAGGGAGGGAGGGAGGGAGGGAGGGAGGGAGGGAGGGAGGGAGGGAGGGAGGGAGGGAGGGAGGGAGGGAGGGATGGAGGGAGGGAGGGAGGGAGGGAGGGAGGGAGGGAGGGAGGGAGGGAGGGAGGGAGGGAGGGAGGGAGGGAGGGAGGGAGGGAGGGAGGGAGGGAGGGAGGGAGGGAGGGACGGAGGGACGGAGGGACGGAGGGACGGAGGGACGGAGGGAGGGGGGGACGGAGGGACGGAGGGACGGAGGGACGGACGGACGGACGGGGGACGGAGGGAGGGAGGCAGAGGGTCGGGGTGAATGAAAAAAAAAGAGGGTAAAGAAGGAGAGGTGGGGCAGCAGTAGCAGCAGCAGCAGCAGCAGCAGCAGCAGCAGCAGCAGCAGCAGCAGCAGCAGCAGCAGCAGCAGCAGCAGCAGGCAGGCAGGCAGGCAGGCAGGCACACATGCAGCAACGACGAGGTTGATTGGGAAATATACACATTACAGAAATGCTGTCTAGCCAAGTAAAGAACTCAGTAGCCAATCACAAGAAGCAAACTCACGTCCATATTCACCTCCTCTCATCTAATTACGCCAGCCCAACCTAGCTAAACCCAGCTGAACTCAGCCTAGCTCAACCCAGCTGTACCCAGGTCAAACCAAGTCAACGCAGGTCAACGCAGGTCACCTTATCACCAATCTCGGAGACGAAGATGAGGGAAAAGGCGGCGGTGAATCCGGACTTCGCGAACACAGAGATGATACTCGACGGACCGCCTGCCCACACCGTCGCTCCAACTGCCGCCGCCACCACCGCCGCCGCCGCCACCGCCGCTATCCGCAGCGCGCGCGCGCCGCCGTTCCCCCCGTTCCCATCGTTCCGCGCGACCGAGGCGTCAGAGCTGGACGGCCCGGCGACGTTGCCGCTGCTGGCGGCCGCGATTAACGGACTAGAGACCGACTCGCTCATGCTGCCGCTGCTGCTGCTGCTGGAGAACGGCTGCCGTCTTGGTTGGCCTGAAGCAAACCATGAAGCAGACAGTAACGGGTATAAAGACGAGCGACTCAAAAGCACGGCCCGGAAGTCGCCTGAGGTTAATCGATCACGAGCAGGAGCGAGTTGCGGGGCGATCGAGTCGTCGACGTAACGGCAGGAGGGAAATTAAGGTCATACACAACAATACGTGTCGATCAGATCAAATAAAAAGCGAATCAAATCAATCACCGTCGAACACGTAGCGGACATCGAGTCTGGAACGATGCTCGACTCGACTCGAGAAGGAGATTTCACCTGGGGAACAAAGGGACGATCGTGCGCGTTCCGAGTAGGATCGAACAGCAAGAGACCGCTCGCCGCCAACTGGCAAACTGAACTTTCGCAGGACCAATTGGCTGCTGCCAATTGGGGAAGCTGACCAGGAGGCTGGTGACGACGGTCTCTTTTGAGAAAACGAGTCGCAGGTATCAGTGGGGTGACAGCTGGCAGAGCAAATAGTTGGGCAGCATGGTTGGGAAGAGACGAGAGCTGACACCATGGCTGCCTCTAAGCAGGCAGCGACCGCCGAACCGCGACGCGACTACTGGACGGAGCGAGTAGCCGGAACAGCAAGAAGCAGGTGCGACGTCGACGAGGCGACGATTACGTGGAAGGATGGGCGAATGTGGGGTGTCGACCAGGGCAAGGATGGATGCGATGTGATGCGATTTCACCGAGGTTGTCTAATTCTGCGACTACGACGCTCGCCAACGGATCAACGCGAATACACCCGAATAAACCACTCGTCACGTCAGCCACCTGAAACAAACCAGTGGGCCAGAAACTAATCCCAAGGAACAGTTCTCGCGCTGCTGCTGCTTCTTACCTGCCTAGCTGGCAAGTGAGGCAGGTAAGGGAGAGCTTCGGCACACGCTGTGTCATGCCGAACCAGCAACTCACCTGAGGTGGCAGGTATGGTCCGGTGTTTTGTTGGCTGGTGTTTTGTTGGTAAGGAAAGGTTTGGTTCGGTTGTTCCGAGCTGGATACAGGTCTCGGTTTTCGCGCATGGCTTTGCCTTCATGGCGGAGCACGCTCATAGGTATGGTCGGGAATGGATCAGATTGGATGAGGTTCTGGTGTACACTGCAAACCTTCATGAGAGTGAACCGTACGAGATGAAAGTGCTGGGACAAAAAATACTTGTCATTCGAAGAAGATTATACTATATAGAGGATACGAACTATCCAAGAAACAAGCATGTTCTCGGGTAAGACGAACCGGTTTGTATATCATATGTGCGTTACCGGACGGTACTGCGCGTTGCAGTACGCTTCCAGTAAGATATGCTCTCATACGAATTCTACATGCCATGCCAGATTACCAACCTAGCATACAAGCAACGAACGCCAGAGCGCGCGTCGGCAACAACTATGCCAATGGCAACATTGGCTCAACCGCAGGGTCTCATTTTCTTCCAGCGCAATCGGAGCCACGAGCAGTATATTCCGCTCATCCTTTTCGTATCAGCCATGACATTCGTCCGCGCAGCAGCCACCAGCACCACAGCGTCTGGAGAAACATCCGCAGCGCGCGTCGCCATAGCCAGCTCGTTTCTCCACGCGAACCCCTGGGCGCTGCTCGTCGGCTCGGCTCTCGTCGTCGTCGCCGCAGGGACCTATCTCCGTCGGCGCTGGCAACGGCGCGCTCGGACTGCTGTGCCGCCAGCTCAGCGTCAGTCGACGCCCACGCAGTCAGGTTCGGTCCATGAGTGCGCGGGGATTCTTTAGACGCCTTTATAGTCAAGTCACCTCCCGGTTGTTAGGTCAGCCTCGAATGCCTGCTCTCACCTTGTTACTCTCCGCGGGCTGCTCACCTGTAAACTCTGGTTACGATAACTCCGCTGTCCGCCTTTTGGGGAGTACGTTCGCCACTTCCTTTATCTCACAGCTTTCTGTCCTTCGCTCCATCTTTCTTTCTCTCTTTCACATACACATACACGCACGCTTCCATACCTGCTACCATACATATTGCCGGGTTTCAAAGCTCCTGTGGATTCATCAGGTATGACACACCAGCAGCAGCAGCACCAGCACCGGCATGAGCAAGCCAGCGCGAGACCAGCCTCTTCCTCCGCGCAGCACGCTTCAAGAAAGCAGCAACTGGACGAACAGAGACGAGCAGCCATGGAACGGCTACAGCAGCAGCAGGACCGCGCGGGGGCCGAGTGGAAAGCGCATGAGGCTGAGCGGAAGGAGGAAGAGCGGAAGAGGGAGGAGGCGAGGAGGCACAAGCAGCTGGAGTATTTGGAGGAGGAGGAGGTGCGGCTGGGGTTCAAGCATAAGGAGAGTGGGGATTGGGATAGGGGTAAGGGTAAGGGGAAAACGGAGTAGTGGGTGGGTGATGGGAGGGGGGGGGGGGGGGGGGGGGGGGTGGTGGGGGGTTCGCGCTGTTGTGGGATGTTTAGGGTTAACTTTCTGAGAACCGTACATGGGTTGCTGAGAATCAGGGCCTCAGATTCACTTTCAGGGTCGTCGACCCATGAGGGTACCCTTGTGTAGAAACCCTGATTGACAGTGTTCCTAAAAAAAAAGCCTGAAATATCAGTGTTGCCTTTGAAGAAAGGCTGATGCATCAGTGTTCAATAATATAAAAGGCTGTGATAATTAGAAATCTCTATTTTATGTACTAAGTCAGTAACAGCCTTCCGAAACATTGCTAAGCTAACATGCCTCATGAATCATCACCAGCCGTGCAATCATCACTGCCCTTAGCCTTTGGTTCTTCTCTCTCCTCCTCAGCTTGGGATGTCAGAATCCCAACCACTAGACCATTGGGATAAAAGGGCTTGTTAAGTAGCGGGTCAGTGCGCCCATAACCCCCCAGGACAACGAGCCTGTAACCCCTCCCTAGGATCAATCGGGGATCACCAGTGGACCTCTGACCAGGCCCTACGATATCAGGATTTTTTTCCTGAAATTCCTGATTTTCAGGGATTTCTTTGTACCTACACTGATTTTTCAGTGTTGAGAATTTTGTGACACTGATTTTTCAGCCTTTATTTCATAGTTGACACTGATTTTTCAGTCTTTTATCGAAGTGTACACTGAATGCACATTCCGAATCCTTCCTGTCAACCAACATTTTCTGATTTTTCACGTACGAGAACGTAAGAGATTGAAGGTTTAGTGGATCAACTGTCTCAGTGGTTTGTGATTTTCTACAGACGGGTAAGGGCCCGGTTCGAATCCCTCCGCTGTCATGTTTCGTAAAGCCTACCCTTGTATACAAGGTTTTCATTTGATTGAAAATTCAGGCTTTGTTTTTTAGGAACCCTGAAAATTCAGGGTTTTTTTTTTAGGAACACTGAAAATCAGGGTTTTGTTCACAGGGACCCTGATGCATCAACGTCCCTTAAAGTGAATCTGAGGGCCTGCCTCTGACACCCCCCCGCACTGGGATGCCCGAAGTGCACACACTGGGATTCGAACCCGAGACCTTCGCTCTGATACCATGTCAGAATCCCAACCACTAGACCATTGGGATAAAAGGGCTTGTTAAGTAGCGGGTCAGTGCGCCCATAACCCCCCAGGACAACGAGCCTGTAACCCCTCCCTAGGATCAATCGGGGATCACCAGTGGACCTCTGACATGGGACACCAGTACGTGATAGTGTTTTTTGACACACACGCCCCGGCTTCACTTCTGCTTGCGACACATACACGTTGAAGCTGCAGGGGCAGGGTTGGGGGGAGGAACTGGATTGACAGGCAGGGTGAGGCAGGGAAAGAGAGAAAAGGAGGGAGAGAGGAGGGAAGACTAGCACGGTTGCGGGGGAGACAACCGGGGGAGAGAGGGAGTGGACGGAGTGCGGGGTAAAGGGAGCGGGGGAATGGACGGCGGGCGCGCGGGTCATGCGCGGGTCATGCCGTCGCGCAGCACGACGCTCTGCGCACCGCCCGCGGCGCAGATGGCCTTTCAACCGCGGTTCGTGCTGGCGACGAGGCAGCCTTCGGTCGTCGCCATTAGCACGAAAACTACGCGTCGTCGAGTCGTAGCGGGCCTACGACACCGACGGGAACTGCCACGTGGCTGACGACCATCTCGCAGCATGCGCTGCGGATCGCGTCGAACGGGATGGGTTCGGCGAGACAAGAAGAGGTTCGACGGCGCTCGCGATGGGTTCGATTCCCAACAGCCCGCCGTTTCTGGTGCTGATGGCGCCATGTATTAGTGCAGATGAGAAAGCACGAGAGGAATCGGGCTGAGAGGGAGGGAGAGAGAAACAGGAGGAAAAGTAACACGAGAGATTGGATTGGAGGGAATGGGAGCATCAATGCTTGCCAGCACAGCCAACGGTGTAGGAACCCTCACAGCCCTCAAGCACCACATGGTTGCCACATTCCGATTAGCCAACGCTTTATGCTGGAGCGAAACTGCCCAATGGAGTGATGGCACCGCAGGAATCTGAGATTCCCTGTAATCGCGGGCAAATCCACACGGAACAAGTAAGAATTTGTTTCTGTGTTAGTTTCGTTACAACGTTGTGGAATCAGTATACTTGGGAAAAAAAGTCTGAAATTTCAGTGTGGCCTAACAAAAAAGGCTGAAAGATCAGTCCCACAAAAATCTCAACACTGATTTTTCAGTGTAGGTAAAAAAAGGACTGCCAAAATCAGGAATTTCATGGTTTTTTTTCCTGATATCTGAGGCCCTGCTGAGAATGGTGCTCGTTAGTCCCCCTCAGCTTCATCATACTGCACTCCTGCTAAGTAGCGTTTGTGTACAGAATCCTATGATGATGCATTGAGGATGCAATGGTACAATGTTGGAAACATATAGTTCGCGCTTCTGACGTGTCGAGCACTATAACAAGAACGAAGTGTCAGAATCCCAACCAATAGACTATTGGGATAAAAGGGCTTGTTTGTGTAGCGGGTTTATGCACCCATAACCCCCCAGGCGAACGCGCCTGTAACCCCCATAGGATCAATCGG